TCCTCAGAACACCCACGTCCAGGCATGGGCTGAGGTATGGCCTTGAATGACAACTGCCAGCTGTCTGCAGGGATATCTGTTGAAAACCATACTTGGCCGGCCGGCCATCAAATTGGCCGACCGGCATTCAAAATAGCCGACCGGCCATCACATTCGGCCGATGGCAATAAAACACAGCCAGTGGCCTCAAGCCATGGCCGGTGGAGTGTGGGGATGGCCCAAAAGCCATTCCCTGCCCTCCAAAGCAAAAACACAAGTGTTTGGTGCAAAACCAGACACAAAACAGTCGAGCCGGGAGATCCTGAGGCAAGGAGTGTAGCCGAGGCCTCTGGGAACTCAAGATGAACACAAACAAGGATGATCACCGAGCGTTCAAGCGGTGACGTCCAAGTCTTGAGGACGGTCAAAAATGGGGTGTCTACAGTTGCCCCTCTTTGACAGAACTCGGAAGTCATAAGAATGACAGGAGTGAGTGTCAAAGCCCAGAGACGATCCATTTTTGACAAGGCCGAAGACTTAGACAAGCATGCAAGATAATAAAGATATGCGCCCGAAGGCAGGGGCAAAATGCAACTGACAATGCAAAGAGCCGAACATAACTTATAATCATGCAAAGAAAGTTGTAACGAAGCATAACATGCGACAGTTTTAAGCTAGCATACACCAAACTACACTACAATGCAGGAAGGATGTAAGAGAATTATGTAATTCTCAATACGTCTTACTCGGAGAAAACAATACCTGCGCGGTTCGTCTGGTTGCACCAGCCTCAAATGAATCGTACATACAATATCGTGCCTGCAAAGAAAGAAAAATTAACAGGTACAATTTTGTTAGCAACATGCCTAATAATGCAATCAAAAGTGCGTGACAACGCAAGTTGAGTGGGGCGCATAACAATGCTGTGAAGGCACAAACACATGTAAGTAAAGAACACGTGACAACGTGCACAATGTGTATGAAGAAATTTGAACATATGTAAGCAAAGCATGCGGTCTACGCAAGCAATGTGTATAGAAACTTGAAATTGAACACATGTAAGTAAAGCGTGCGGTCTACGCAAGCGATGTGTATGAAAAGGAACTTGAACACATGTAAGTAAAGCGTGCGATCTACGCAAGCAATGTGTAGAGAAACTTGAAATTGAACACATGTAAGTAAAGCATAGCGCGACAACGCATGCAATGTTTATGGAAACTTGAAATTGAACACATGTAAGTAAAGCATAACGCGACAACGTATGCAATGTGTATAGAAGAAACTTGAAATTGAACACATTTGTTTGTTTTGTAGCTCAGTGATCTAATATGTATTTCCAGAATATTGATTCACAATTACGGTTAAATTTTTGTTGAACTATCATCTTTTTTGGCCCAATATTATGTCCTATTTATCCAAATTGTCGTATGAAAATTAGTGTAGAAGTTTCTTTCAGTTCAAAAAAGAACCTAACAGATCAATTCAACAAACACACATATTGATGTATACAAATGTTATATATGCAGTAAAATTCGAAAGAAATAGAGAGAGAGAGAGAGAGAGAGTATCGATTAAAGTTCAGTAAATGAGGATCAAGTCAGAATGCCTCTCTCTGAATCTCTGCAAATGAGGTTCAAGTAAGAATGCCTTCAAAACATTGATTTCATAGATCTAGAGAGAGAGAGACGGTGGAGCTCGCTACCTTGCCGGTGCAGATGACGGTGGCGATGGAGCTTCGAAATCACTCTGAATCTCGAAATCGATCTGAATCTTCAAAATCACTTCGAAATCGCTCTGAATCTTCGAAATCGCAGGGGCAGATGGAGCTTCGATGAAAAAATGTGTACGTACAAGGATTGAGAGAGAGAGAGATGTGTGCATATTCAAGCTAAGACTCAGTGTTATATATTCAAGCTTCAAGAACAACCGATTGCTCTCCTCCGTCTTCTTTGTCGCTAAGAGAGAGAGAGAGAGAGAGATGTGCGCGAAATTTGCACTCAGATTAAAAAATAAGGGTTTCATAAAGGGGCGCGTGTACCTACAACATTCGGAGGCGCTTTTAAACGCCTTCAATTAGAAACGGTGCCGTTTTGGTTTTAAAAAATATGCAACGGTTACAAAACGCCGTTAAAAATTAGCAAACGTGACGTTTAATAAAACGCCGTTAATTGCCTCATTTCCTGTAGTGATAAGCATCTATATGATCATCATTTTTCATCTATTCCCACTCACAGACTAAGGGCCTATTTGGTATATATTTTATTGAGGTTATTTATGGTTTATTTTTAATTTTTTTTATAATTTTGGGAATATGTGGCAGAATATATAGCACATGTTTATAACTTATGATGCAAAAATAACTCAAATAAATTGACAAAAATAACTTAATAAAAGCGATGACATACAAATTGGCTATCTATCTTCCATATGGAGCGATTAACTTAATTTCATGAATTTTTTTTCTTCTTCCTGCAATCATCGGCATGGCTACTTAATTGAGTTTATAATGCAATTAACAAATAAAAAATAGATAATATGGAACAGAATGGACTTCTCAGCAATTATCTTATTTGGACTAAATGGTGGCTACCGTAGATCATTGTGTGTAAATCATCTATAAAAAGATTTCATCATTTTTGTCTTTAGAACATAAGCTGTCTCATTTTTAAGACAAAGACAATGAAAATCATATATAAAAATTATCAAATTAATCTAAATTTTTTCGTAAATAGTTTAAATCACCAAAATAGAACTTGTGATGGAGCCAACGAACTGGACTACACTCTGCAATCCAAAAGGCTACTGGTGTCACTATTAAGATCTATCATATTTAGAGAGAGAGAGAGAGAGAGTTAAATTAATGCCTAATAAAACTAAATAGTGGGCTATGATCTCTACCTAATCTTGTTTAAAGTTAATAAACTCATAGTTTTATGTGGAAATTGTAAGCAATTTGTGGTCCTAAGAAGTATCATTGGCAAAATTTAAAAAGACAAAGACTCCATTATTAAGGAACTAATTGAAACCTTTTCTTATTCATATCAACAATAATACATACTCAAAAAATTAGTACATTTACGGATCACAATCTTTCTAATGCACCTCATTTTCAGGGTAGAATTTGGAAGACGAATTCATAATTCATAGCATTTTCCTAGTCAAATATGGGGTTGATTTTACGTTCAACAAAAAAATAAAAATAAAAAAAATATTTGAACTTTAAACATTTTCCTAGTTATTTCTTCATTTTGTTAATTTGTAACAATTGACATTTCTCATTACCAAATTTCCATTGTCAATTGTCTGTTAGATGTTATAAAGCAATGGAATAAAAATAATTGAACCAAATGGGATTTATTATTATTGTTATTACAACCAAATGGGATGATTGAACCATAGATATTTAGACTTTACAATTTCATTTGGTTGAATATAAAATATTTTTAAGTGATATTTTCTATTTAGATGCATTTTCAACAAAATATTGCGTAACCAAATTGGGAAACTATAATGATTATTGTCAAGGCTTATACTGAAAGCAACTTGTTCATAATCAGATGAATAAGTTTTAAACTGACCTAGTTGATTATTTGTATTTATTTGATGGACAATATATAAATACTATTGTTGATTAAAAACAAAACTGTGACGTGATCCCATGGTTCATGGCATAATATAAAGTGTTCTAAAATAATCGTTAACAAGTTTGAAATTGTTATGCATTCTTTACAATAGTGTGCATTGTAAATAATTTACCACTATTTTAAGCATTGTTAACCAATACCATTAAGACATTTGTTGACAACACCCTATAACTAATTGAGGACTAACTGATATTATTGGGTACAAGAAGCCAAGGGGTTGGGAAACTAAATTAAGGTAAAATTGCATAAGTAGTTGCTAAAATTTCACACTAGTATCAGTTTAATTCCTAAAATTTCAATTGGGATACATTATTTCAAATAAGTCCAATTGCTAATGGGCATTAGAAGTTTTGACCACAGAGGTAGAGTGCAGCCATCTTTCAAGGGCAAAAAAGACATTTTTCTTTCCCCCCAATATTTTTAAAAATTACATTAAAGTATACCGAAAGAGGCTTGTCCATTATGTTTCTAATTCCACCCACATATTGAATGAGGGCACTCACTATAAGAATTTTTAATTTTGGCGACTAAGTTTTTAGTCGCCAAAAGTCAATTTTTAGTTGCCGAAGGGCTTTAACGACTAAATTTCTTGGTCGCAAAATTAGTAGCCGAAGAGTAATCGGGAAAGCTAATTGGCAACTAAAATTATTTTAGTCGCCAAATGTATTCATTTGCCGACTAAATATTTAGTCGCCAAAAGATTGGACATTACATTAAATTAGACCCTTTTCGGCGACCAAACTTTTAGTCGCCTAAAGTCCCACCATTTTAGCTACTAAAATTTTAGTCAGCAAAGAGTTCTTTTTTGGCTACTAAAAATTTAGTCGCCGAAAGTCCCCATCTTTGGCTACTAAATGTTTAGTCGGCAAAGAGTTTCTCTTTTGGCTACTAAATATTTAGTCACCTAAAGTTCTACATTTTTTGCTACTAAAATTTTAGTCGGCAAAAGTGTGTTTATAATTTAGTTTTTTGTTTTTAGCTACAAAATATTTTAGTCGTCAAATGTTTGATTTTCTTTTGGCTACTAAAGTTTTAGTCGCCAAATGTCTGTTTTTTTTTTTGCTACAAAATTTTGAGTCGCCAAATGTCTTTTTTTGCTACAAAACTTTTAGTCGCCAAACGTCTTTTCCCAATTTCTTTTTAGCTACTAATTGTTTAGTCGCCAAAAACATGATATTATGTTTTATTGCGAAATTATAATTTCTCCACAATCTGTCTATATATAATGCAACCTGTAATACGTATAAAAACAAAATGATACATAGTATCAATCATTCCACAATCTACATCCATATACCAAAAATAAATGACATTAAATATCAAAGTCCATACAAATCAACTATTGTCCAAATTAAAATAATATTTCCATACAAAATATATCATACAAAAATCAAAACCCTCCGTACACAAAAAATAACATTTACGTCCAAGTGAAATTACCATTTGGCATGGTACAAATTACCATCGTAATCTGTACCACAACAAAAAGTGATATATCACGACAAGTTTTCTATGGACCATGACAAAACGTCCTATATGTACGCCAACAAATGGTATATATGTACCACGACAGAAGGTGATCTATGTACCACGGCAGTCATTATCTGTTGATTGCCAAAAGTTTTCTATATCAGCAACAATGAACTACACAAAAGCTGAGGACGACAAAAGTATTATATTAGTTCTATACAAAAGTGAAAATTCTTCCCCATACACCAATATGGATTATCCACAAGTCCACGCAACTAAGCCATCTACAAAGAAAAACAAAAAATGAAACATTAGAATTGGTTACAAAATATCAATTCAGTCAGTCATATGGAACATGTTCTAACATGCATTTAAGGTAGAACAATCGATAAATGCCTTTTTGGAAATAAAAGAAAGTATATATATATACATATATATATGTATCATGCAATATTTATTCCACCCAACTGCACAAACAATGTAATATGTAATTTCTTCGTCCTATAAATATATAAAGACAATTATTAGAATATGTAGATGTTATTTTAATAAAATTGTTGCTTTTTTAACTAAGTGTTGCAAGTTTTTTGACTAAATGTAAGGTGTATTCGGGGGCTGTTATGAATTTTCGCCTCCGGAAAGCCCTTTTTCAAGTAAGTTTAGGGCGTATTCGGCTCTAACTCACAACCTACGAGTCCGAATTACGTTCCGTCAGATCTCACAAGTCTTATTTGTCATGGCAAAGCTACCCGTGTGAGCCACACGATCGTTCGGGGGCTATTTTGAATTTTCGACCTCATAAAGTTTTTTTTCGACTAAGTTTAGGGCGTATTTGAGTCTAACTCCCAAAATACGAGTCCGAATTACGTTCCGTCAGTTCTCACAAGTCCTATTTCTCATGGGGGAACTGTCAGTGTGAGCCACACGGTGGTTTGGGGGCTGTTTTGAATTTTCACCCCCGAAATGCCCTTTTTCGACTAAGTTTAGGGCGTATTCGGCTCTAACTCCCAACCAACGGGTCCGAATTACGTTCCGTCAGTTCTCACAAGTCCTATTTGTCATGGGGGAACTGTCCATGTGAGCCACATGATGGTTCGGGGGCAGTTATGAATTTTTGCCCCCGGAAAGTCCTTTTTCGACTAAGTTTAGGGCGTATTCGGCTCTAACTCCCAACCTACGGGTCTGGATTACGTTCCGTCAGTTGTCACAAGTCCTATTTGTCATAGGGGAACTGTCCGTGTGAGCCACATAGTGGTTTGGGGGTTGTTTTGCATTTTCGCCCTCGAAACGCCTTTTTCGACTAAGTTTAGGGCGTATTCGGCTCTAACTCTCAACCTACGGGTCCGAATTACATTCCGTCAGTTCTCACAAGTCCTATTTGTCATGGGAGAACTGTCCATGTGAGCCACACGGTGGTTTGGGAGTTGTTTTGAATTTTTGCCCCCAAAACGCCCTTTTTCGACTAAGTTTAGGGCGTATTCAGCTCTAACTCCCAACCTACAGGTTCGAATTACGTTTCGTCAGTTCTCACAAGTCTTATTTGTTATGGGGGAACTGTCTGTGTGAGCCACACGGTGGTTCGGGGGCTGTTATGAATTTTTGCCCCCGGAAAGTCCTTTTTCGACTAAGTTTAGGGTGTATTCGGCTCTAACTCCCAACCTACGGGTTTGAATTATGTTCCATCAGTTCTCACAAGTCCTATTTGTCATGGCGAAGCTGTCCGTGCGAGCCACACAGTGGTTCGGAAGCTGTTTTGAATTTTCGCCCCCGGAAATCCCTTTTTCGACTAAGTTTAGGGCTTATTCGACTTTAACTCCCAACCTACAGGTCCGAATTACATTTCGTCAGTTATCACAAGTCTTATTTTTCATGGGGAAGCTATCTGTGAGAGTCACATGGTGGTTCGGGGACTATTTTGAATTTTCTCTCCCGAAAGCTCATCTGCCAATAATGTTGATTTCCAGTTCCACAACAAAAACTCATCTCTAAACCATAAGGATGCTCAACGTCCTAATACTTACATTGCTATGATTAATAAAAAAAAATTAACAAAAGGATGTATAATTATCTGCACAAAAATAAGGAAAAGATTTGTCCCACCTTTATATTTGAACAAGGCAACTTTACGACAATTGTTTCCCTTTATCCTTTTCATATACACACAGCATTATTATACATATCCACACAGCATTATATATATACACACACATTCACCAACATATATTACATATTCGCCCACGGAAAGCCCTTTTTTGACTAAATTTAGGGTGTATTCGGCTCTAACTCCCAACCTACGAGTCCGAATTACATTCCGTTAGTTGTCACAAGTCCTATTTGTCATGGGGAAGCTATCCGTGAGAGCCACACGGTAGTTCGGGGGCCGTTTTGAATTTTCGCCCCCGGAAAGCCCTTTTTCGAGTAAGTTTAGGGCATATTCGACTCTAACTCCCAACCTACAGGTTCAAATTACATTCCGTCAGTTGTCACAAGTCCTATTTGTCATGGGAAAGCTATCCGTGAGAGTCACACGGTAGTTCGAGGGCTAGATATGGACAATTAATTTTTATCTGAGATCATAATTATATTTGTTTCTGTTTCTCTAGGCAATCACGCTAAAGACATATCCCGCTAAGCTCTCCCTCACTGCTTGGATATGCCTATTAGGAACAACTCAGGGGGCCATAGTGGCACTTATAATGGCGAGGGGAAATGCTAGCGTCTGTTCTATAAGCTGGGACACCAAACTCCTAACAGCTCTTTACAGTGTAAGGAGAATAAATGGGAAAACAAAATTTTCTTTCTTAATGTTAACCAGGGATAAGAAAATCATCTTAGAAATAACCCCTACATAAGTTCATTCAACATCACTACATCTTCTTAGAAATATAATCAGAAACGGACATAGGTGCACATGCATGTTGCTAGTTTAAGAGAAATTTTCACAGTTGTACTACCAAAGTATATAAAATAGACATTAAATAGTTACAACAACTTGCCTTTCAACATCACCCCCGAACGCCTTTTTTCGACTAAATTTATGACATTTGCAACTCAAAGGTATTGTTTGGTATTGTTTGTTAGGATTCAAGAATTAAAGAAAGAAAGCAATATGTTTCGTGCTTATCACTGTCTCCTCCAATTACTCAAAGCCCTCATCTTGTTCTGCTTTCAAGGCATAAGAATCCATGATATAGAAACCAAATAAAATATTAAAAAAAATAAATCTAAAGAAGTTACAACAACTTGCCTTTCATTATTTGTCTTTGAAGACCAACAATGCCAGAAATTCAATAAAATATAAATTAATTAAGATAAATATTTCATCATCATTGATTATGAAACAAAGATCTGCATTGTATTTATAAAACTGATAGCATTAGAATCCATTGAAAATCATGACAGAAATTCAATAACTAAATGAAGGATTAATAATGAACAATATATATATATATATATAGGTCCAGTGGGAAAGCATATCTATATTATACGTTCAAAAAGAAATGTTCATAGTGCCAAAAGCAATTCATATATCACATAACATCAAAGCCAACCAATAGGGAAGGGTTTATTTTTGTTTGTTTTTATCTTTTATTTATTTTTTGTTGGGACCCTTTAATAATGTGACATTCCCATTGTTGATCCATCTCCAACCTGAGCAGCTTTTCATATGATACAAGCAAAGCAACCCACTATCTCATGCACACACACCTGAGAGTTTTCAAAATTAATTTTTAACTCCAATTTTTTTGGATTTTAGTATTTTTTTTAAAAATGTTTTAATCAAATGCTTTTAATTTTTATTTAGATGCAGTTTAAAAGTTTTAAAAAAATGCTAAAAATTCTTTTAAAAATTTACTAAATACAAAAATTCAGTACATTTTCGTATTTTTTATTTTATTTATTGAATTATTTTTAGATTACTTCACAAATATTTTATTTTTTAACTACATTAGAATTAAAAAAAAACTTTGTTTCATAACTTGAACGGAAAAAAAAAAATGATAAACATTCAGTCATGCAAGGCAATCATGAACTAATTAATTGCATAGAATGAGAGGTTGGGTCTTCAAAGCTACATATTCTTATCCCTTCTTTAATTTTGAAAACTGCATTTAAATGCATCAATTGAATGAAGGATAACTACCCAAGCATATCTTCAAGTAATGCTCCCATGGAAGGCATTGCTTTGTTTCATGCATGTATCAGCTGACATTAGTATAGGCAAGAGATGTAATGGAAAACATCACATTATCATCTAATGCCTCCCAAACAGACTTATTTCAACTTGAATTAAATTTGTATTAGGAATATGGATTGAAGAGAGAAAGAAGGGCATCCTAATTAAAATACCTTCAGCTTCAACCTCCAATGTTGGATGGCTTCACATATCAAACATGTGAGCATTGTCCAGTTTCGTTTGAACATTTCGTTAAACACATGGTAAGTAAAAGAGCCAAAAGACAACAACAAATACAAGCATGGACGAATTT